CGATGCTAACCCAGGACACGACCCTAACCTAAGTCAGAGTCAGGATCCAAAACTTGAGTCAAGAGTTGGGTAATGAGATTGAAAGAGAGTTTTGAAATTTTTTATTTTTTTATTTTATCAATGAAAGTCATTTTCCTTTAATCTAAAGAAAATAAATCTATGAAAAAAATATCTAAACCCACTAAATATGAGAAAATTTAAGAATGTTTCCATTCACATCCAACACACCCTTTGTGTTTTGTCCTTTACACTTCTGTTCTCGTATTTCATGGGACAATGACATAGGAGGAGAATTTTACGTATAAATTTTAACCAAGCCAAAAATATAATCGAGTTGCAAATAAATTGATTCAAACACATCATTTAATCGTGTTACAATTTTGAACCAATCGAACATGAAATTCGAGGTCACGTCATCTTCCCTTTCCAGACCTTCTTCTCACCTAACCTAATTCATCTAAGTATGACCAAATAGTACAAATTTAGTTATATTACTAACTTAACATTAAACAATTTTTACAATAATCAATTAATGTTAATTACGTGTGAAAACAAGCAAGCTAATTGAAAGTAGTTCTACTTGGTCAGACTTCCTTTCTGGTAACTAACTATCAAAAGTCCATATAAGCTCTTACTTATTTGATTAGAATTCTCTACCTACTCATTTCAAAAATAGACTGCTCCACAATGATATTATTTAAAATTTATTTTGCGTGTGCAATAATGATTATTTATAACATATTTTAGATCATACGTTTTAAATTTTTTTTTTTCTTAAAAAAACCGCATTAGTTAATTAAACACTGTCATATATAAATCAAAACAGATAGAATAACGAATAACACTTCATGAAGTATCCAACCTGATAAGATAATCTAGAAAGCAACATAACAACTGATCTACGCATTTAAATTGTATTGATATTGTTAGGATTTGTTATAATACTGACGTGTGTATATATAGATATATAGAAATATAATTTTTTATTTAAATATCCTATAATATACCATACCTATAGGTAACGTACAAGTGTAATTTTTGAAGTTAAAAGTCAAATGAATAGCAAAATTTCCTCCTTTTAATTTATTTTTAATTGCCTTCTTAGATCTAATCAAAACACAATCAAGGTCATAGACAAAACAATCATTTCAATTTGAAAAATGAAAGCTATCTATATTCCTCAAGAACCCAATCATTTCATTTAGATCACATGTTTTTTTAATTTGCTTATCTTACTCCTTTTTTTTTTTCAAAAACTAATTCTTTAATTCAAATTTTGATTGTAAAATGTTGAAAATCATAAGAATAAATGACATTTCAGTATATTCTATGTATTTTTAATTTAACATAACATTTTTTTTAAAAAAGAGATCACTTTTTTAAAATTTTGTGTTAAATCAAATAAATTAAAACAAATGAGATTTTTCTTTCACTTGTATACATCTTTTATATATTGACCACAAGTGAAGAAAGACAAAATTTGAATGTGATATTCAACAGTCAACATTGATGAAATGTGGCATGTGATTTTTCTCTTTTTATTTATTTTAAATATTCTTGGCGGCCATTGATTTTAGTGATAATAGAGGACCAAAAAGAGAAGGAAGGAACTTTCGGTCACATTTAACTAAACCTCTTCCTAAATAGTACTATATTGTACTCTATTAATATGAAAGAAATTAAGCATATCAAAGAGTACTTCTTTATTCTTGATTAGAGGTCTTGGATTTGAATCATTGGGTATGGAGTTGCATTTGTTAGGGATCACTTATATCAACCTATTATTAAATTTTTCGACGTAAATCTAGATTTAGTCAAACTCCAATATGAATATCGAATACCAAATGAGAAACAAAAAAAATTAAATAACTTATATAGGTTTTTATATTAGTTTATACTCTATCATGTTGTAGTATAATATATTAAATGCTTTATTTGCCACCTTTCTAATTTAAACTTTCATAGGGGATTATACAACTTGATAATGTTAAATTTTTTAAATATATTGTTTGCGCATAGAAGATCACGTTTGTTGTTGTTTGCTATAACGTATAAAAGATAAATTCAATATGAAGTACTCCCTTAACTATTTTATGCGATTTTATTTTGTTTATTGGCCAAGTTTCTTCAAAGTTAAAGATATTTTTAATTAATTTATTTATTTATTGGCCAAGTGTCTTCAAAGTTAAAGATATTTTTAATTAATTTATTTATTTCAAAATTAAAGTATTTGACCATATTTTTCAAAGGAAAAAAAAACTTTATAAACTGTTTTGAAGAAGTTTTTAAAAAATAATTAGTTTCCACTTTCCAGTCATGTGTCCCCAAGCTTACGATATGGATAGTTTAGTATGATATTTGAGTATAATTTAATTTATATATATATATATATAAAAGTTATGAGAGAATTAATATATTATCTTGTATGAGAAAAAAATTAAAACAATCAATTATAACTAATACGTGCATTATTAAATACTAGTGGTTAAATTATCCAACTATCAAAAATTACTTTTACTCGCCACTTATGACTTATTCCTAAAAATATTTTTTCATATAAAAAAAAGACAATAATTTTTTTTTTTATATTTTACCCTCAGTATTAAACACTTATTTTACTAATCATTTTTCAAAATATTATTTAATAGGAATAATTTAGTAAAATACATATATTATTTAATTATTTTTTTAATGAGTGTCAAGTTAAAGTGTGACAAAGTAAAAATGAAGTACTCCCTTCGTTCTATTTATATGTCACCATTTTTTTTATTTCAAGTGCACTAAGAAATTAAGTAAGTTACTATTCTATCCTTACTTATTTATTTATTTTTTAAGTCAACTTTTCAATCAATGATGAATTAATTAATTTTAATTAAATATATAATTTCAAGGCTAACAACTCACAAAGGTAAAATAGGAAAGATATTTTAGTTTATACATAATTTTTTATGAAATGACAATTATTAAACGACCAAGAATGACATATAAAAAGGAACGGAACAAATATCTCTTGAAAGCTTTAGACCATTCTACTATTCCTATATAGGAAAAGTCAAAGCATGCCTTTAATAATGTAAAAAACAAAATATCATAAAAGAGAGACTGAAAGATTTATTTACAAATAAAAAGATCAAAACCCAACTCCACCCAAAATCAAGCCAATTTTTCACACAACTCAATACCTCTTTCTTCCTCCAAAGATGGATAATTTTAGATCTATGTCAACAAGAGAAGGAAATATGCAAATAGAAACTTACTATGGTGGGGGTCCAACAAATATGCAAGATTTGAGGAGTTATAGTACTAATTCATATTATTCCTATGGGGATAAAGAAGTGAAGATCAAAAAGAGTAAAAGCAGAATCTCATCTTCTTCTTCTTCAAGAAATTGGGCTTTTAATGACCCTGAATTACAGAGGAAAAAAAGAGTTCTTGGATATAAATCTTATACTATGGAAGGTAAAATGAAAGGTTCTTTTAGAAAAAGTTTCAGGTGGATCAAAAATACTTGCAATCATGTTGTCCATGGATTCTGGTGAAATTTGCCTACACACTATTTTCCTCATACTTTACAAGGTTGCGTATACATTAATTACTCTCTCTCTTCAGACTCTACTCGTAGAATTATATTGAGTTTGTTGTTATTATTGTTGAATTGAAGAGATAAAAGTGGGGGTGGGGGATTCTTCCCTTTTTAATGTTTTTCTTAGATGGTTGTGATCTTGCAAAATATATTAATGTTATATATAGATTCATCTTTTATTGAGAATTGAGATTTTGTGTTTATGAGTTTTAAGTAATATGTAATACACTTTTGTTAAAAGGAAATTGAAGGAAAAAATTGGTCCTTTTTTTTCTAAATTGAGGGGAAAAATGCAATACAAGGTGGTTCCACCGGTGGGTCGGAGTTTTTGTCTTTAGCAAAAAGAGAATATTGAGGGTAAAAAGGAAAAAAAATCCTTAAAGATGTGCTTCCTTTAACTTAGATATTTCGAGTTCGAATTCTAAGTATAGAAGAATTCTTGGTAGGCAACGTGGATCATACGTGGTGTGAGTTTGAAATAGTTAGATTTCAATGCAGATATCAAACACGTTGTGGGAAATAAACAAAAATGATCTCTTTTCATCTATCTAAACGGTGATCGACATAGTTAACTAATATCTTGTTGATAAAAAGATAATAAATTCTAGTAATGGCGATATATATATATATATATATATATATATATATATATATATACAGGAAAATAATCAAACGCCATGATTATTATAAAAAAAAAAGAGCACGCTTCGATGATCGCTTAGAAAATAGGAGTGATTAATGCTTACCTGTTCAAAAATAAATAATTTGGGAGTGGTTCATACTGTCTTTAAAATCCCATGAATTGATCTCTGACTAACACATAAAGAAAGGGTACCTTTTCTTTTTTTGCTTCCTTTTACTTTATACTTCACTTTTTCTATCTATTGGACAAAAAAAGTGAATTCCAAAACAAAGAATCTGCTAAAAAAAAATTGAACATACCTAATATTGTTCAATTTAGGGGTGAAAATATCATAAATTACCGTTGAACATAAATAAATAAATATTTAGATTGAGTCACGAATTGTCTCGCTCACTTAACAAGATACAATTTCAATTTAGTACAACTTTTGAATTGTCCCCTTCATAAATATGAGTTAACTCAAACAACTTTAAAATAATTGAAGAGTACAAAACGCAACCAAAAGAACACCGTCCTTATATAAGTTTGAGACTTAAAATATTATTTTGTTCCTCCTTTTAACTACACTAACCTCAAAATAAAAACAAACATAATACTTCTCATCCACTTCTCACCTACACAACAACGAAAAATAATAATCTTTTATATAGGTGTAGGAAATAATGAGAAGAACATGTCATAGTGGATACATTAAATACAAAGAATAAAGACACCTTTCTCCCCTTTATACCTACTAATATATGATGCACTTTAATATTAAAAAAGCACATAAACACTCAACAACTTGCAATTCAGATTCATGCACAATAGCAAAAAGATGGGTGTAATTCCAATACAATAAGTCTCAAGTGAATATTTAGTCTCCAACCATACAAAAATACATTCATAATTCACAACATAACACCATTAAAAATACAAAGAACTCTTATAAAGGGGATAGAGAGAAGGAGATGAGAAAAACAAAGTGCCAAATGTACAGAAGAAGCATACGCCAAAGATTACCAGAGGGATCTCACATTAATTTCTAGTTTTAGCCTTTCCTGATGGCAAATTGTAGCGAAATCCCCAAAGTTGGTGCAATTTTTTAGCCAAGATTTTACAGTAACCAGAGAACTGAGATAAAGCAGCAAAGCTAATAATGCAGCCTCTCATCATTTTTGACACTTAGGCCCTCTATTCCTTTAAGGGCGGCCTCAAAGTTCTTATCCATTCTAGTGGAGGAGCTGCGCTTCTGATCTGATGACACGACTGGTGAACTTCTCTGAGCAACACTGGAAGTTTTACGGAGATGTCCTGGGCTTTCATCTGTTTTCCGAATGTGAGAGGGATCGGGTTCAACACCGGTGATCACTGGATCACGACTGCTAGAGACAGCTGGACGCCTTGCTGATGCACTAGTCCGGAAAAAACTTGAACTAGATAACTGCAACAAGAGCTCAGTCAAAATTCCTTTATTCCATTGGTTGCCAATAGAATCACAACACATGGGTTTATTTTTGCTTGCAGAATGACCTTGTGCTAAATCACGTTTCTATCATGTGGAGTGAATTCATTTTCTCAGCTTAGCATTTATGTTGTTGAAAGAAAATGTCAAAGGATGGAAACTTTTGTGATGTTCGACTAGGAGAATGTGCAATAAGTTGATGAGAAATAAATACACATAAAAAGCAACAAAAGAAGAAAAAAAAAAGACCGGCAAAATTCATGATATCCCTACCTGGTAAATTAAAATGACGCAAAATTTATGCCATCTATAGTCTACTAATAAGATCAAAATACACTCATAATCTTGTGCCAACTTGTGTTCTACTAAAGCACAATTAGTTTGATGTAGTACTAACTACTACCACTTTGAATTCAACATAAGCAGGGAGATACTTGTAAAGTAACAAGAGTGACAGAGCGAGATAGTCACCTCTTTACCCATGGATAAATCATTGGCAGCTGTCCCTTTTTGCTTTGCTAAGCTTCCAGAGTTGAATTGCAGCCCCGTGTTCCTATTACGAGCAAGATTTCCTGAAGACCAACCAGTAGGCCGACCTTCTTCACCACCTGCACAGTATGCACAGCATGTTGTTTATAGGTCCAATAAATAGCAAACTAGCAGATTGGAGGTAGTATACTTTCCTTAACAAACCTGGGACAGTCAAAATAACTAACATGATGAAGTAGTGAAAAATACATGTTTTTTTTTTTTTGAGAATGGTAAAGAGTAGTGAAAAATACATGTTAATATTATCTTTTTCGTAAAAGGCTAAAGATGGCACTTATTAGGAAAGATATGAGGGATGAAATGAGTTGCACAGTAAGTAGTAAACATAAAAGAAGCTTATACAAGCTCTCTGTTGCAAGTTATGTCCAGTTTTATTGTAATCTATCATCAGCAAACCACCAATGCCATTATATGCACACAAAAGTTCTAAAATGTACTGATTGCATATAATCTTCTTTTATGCTTGAAGTGAACAACACATAAGAAGCCCACCTGATTGCCTCTCAGCATTAGCAAGAGCATGAGGCATCCCGGAACTTGGTCCAGCAGTACCACCCTGCACAAAAAATTATCATTTCATTTAACATCCTGGGGCCAATTAACACATAATCTGATTTACCTAAGTCACTCACAAGAGCACGAGATGGAGGATTGGCAAGCTGTGACTGCTGATATTTCAAAATGGTCCAGTCAAATACATAATCAAACTGAAAACCTGAAAGAACGAAAAAAGAGAGGAGAAGAAAAGAAAAACTGAAAACAGACTCTTGAGCAAAACGTTAACTGAACACTTAACATTGTCTATACAGCAAGTATCATTGCATGGAGCAAAAGAAATGATCATACCTTCACGAATGAAAAGGTCACGGAAAATTCTTTTGAGATAAGCATAATCTGGTTTATCCTCAAACCGCAGTGATCGACAGTAGTGAAAATATGATGCAAACTCTGTAGGATAGCCACGACACAATGTCTAGAAAAGGAAAATATGTGTCAGTATCATTATTAAAAATCATAGCGCTAGCACAAGAAAAATGTTTGAACATAAAATGCCTCTATCGATGTTGAAACTTTCTTCTCACTGATCCTCTCATACTTCTGTTTCTTTGTCCCTGCTTTCAGCCCCTGCCAAGGAAGACTACACATTTTGGAAATCAGTAAATAGAAGTACCATGAAAAAAGAGCGAAAGACAAACACAAAGCGAGAATTACAGGAATAGATTCTACCTTCCTCTTAAGAAGTACATTAGGACATAACCCAGTGATTCCAAATCATCCCTTCGGCTTTGTTCTAAAAGTTTGAAAGCAACAAAGAATCAAGGATGTCTTCAAGAATAAACACAATGCACAAACACAAAAGTGTACAAAAGTTAATAAAACCAAAATCTTACCGATGCCAAGGTGAGTATTCATGCTTGCATATCTGGCAGTTCCTGTCAAATTTTTGTTTTCTCTGTATTTGAAATTAGAAGAATAAAACAAAATTAGCCATTCATTATCTAGAGATACATAATTTCCTTAGCTAATAGATTAAATGAGAAAAGAATGCCAAAAACATTTACAGTAATGGAACTCAACCCACAAAACAAAAACTACAACTTTGACATGCTCAAAATAGAAATAAGTCAATAACCCACCTCAATACAAACCAACAGCAAACTCTGCTCTCACTACTTAGATTTCAGTAAATAGTGTCTTTTGAATAAATAATGAAAACATCTCCAAGGCAATTAGACATGGTGGCACTAGATTGATGGTGTCTTCACCAGTAACTTAGAGAGAGAGAGAGAGAGAGAAAATCGATGAAGGGAACTCGGGAGAATAAGCTATAACCATAGGAGAACTAACCAACTTGCCGCAATTCCAAACTAGTTGGAACTTGGGGTTGACAATATCATAATTTCACTATCTTTATGCTAGCCGTCATCTTACCGCAACTCTCCATCTTTACGCGGACATGGGAAAAAGCTATCAGTTTTTGGTTTATTTCACTACCTTACCTTAGTTGGCAATAAATGAGGTAATCCAGAATATCCTATAGAGGTACCTTTATAGAAAATGCAGCAAAGAGACCACAAAGAGCTTAATACTTGCTATGAACCATCCTTCTTAGAAAAACTATATCAATCCATGGAATATAAGCATTATCTTATCCTCTCTTGAATAAGTTCAAAAGGAGCTTACTATATGATTAATCAAAAATCAAATATCATTTTTTTGTTGGGTGGGGGAGCTTACCTATATGGAATATGCTGATGAGTGGTGGAGTCCCTAAACTTCTTAGCCAGCCCAAAATCAATGATATAGACCTATATGTAACCGATGGTAGTAATGAATCAGTAATTACCCTATCAGCAACAGGTGAATGAAATAGCAATCAATAGTTCTGATCCCAATACCTGATTTGCACGTCTTCCTAATCCCATCAAGAAGTTGTCTGGTTTTATATCTCGATGAAGAAAAGATTTGGCATGAACAAATTCGACCCGATTTATCTAAAAATTGAAAACAAATGAACACATGTTTTAAATAGTTAACGAAATAAACAAGTGCAGAACTTCACACTTACCATCTGGTCTGCAAGCATAAGAACAGTCTTTAGGGACAGCTTCCTACTGCAGAAATTGAAGAGATCTTCAAGACTGGGTCCCAGTAAATCCATCACAAGGACATTATAATCTCCTTCAACTCCAAACCATTTTAAATTGGGAATTCCAGCTATCAATGTCAACAAAAAATTCCAACCGATGAGGACAGGATATAAACATTATATAGTAAAGAAGCAATACTAGCCAACAAGAAGAATGAGAAATTACTTCCTCCTTGTAGTATTTTATACAGTTTTGATTCATAGAGTAGTTGAGGATGCTTTGTCTTCACATTTTCCTGAGCAAAGGAAACAGCAGAAGCATTTATCACAAACTAAAAGAATTCCACTAGTGATGGAAGATAAATAACTTAATCTCTACAGAAATCAGAAGTCATAGACCACGTGTCAGCTTATGTGCCAAAATGGGAAAAGGAGAAATCAATGCCATGAGTATCTTTAAAGAGATCAGAAGTCATAAAACCACATGTCAGCTTAAATGCCAAAATGGGAAAAAAGAGAAATCAATGCCATGAATATCAGCAAGTAAAAGCAGAACTTCAGTTTACCAAATCTCCACGAAATTAAAGCAGTGAAGCTGTTCTAATAATATCCTACCTCTCTCTCACACATAAAAGGTGAGAACACTCAGCTACCTACTAACATTCTCTACCCTAACAATGACCTCCAAATCTTCCTATCTAGGGGCATGTCCTCAGTAAGATGAGGTTGTATCGCGTCTTGTCTAATTACCTCCCCTCAGTTTTTTTTTGGCCTACATCTACCTCTCCTAACTCTTGCTACAACCAACCTCTCACACGTCTTTATTGGTGCATCTGTGCACCTCCTCTTCATATTCCCAGACCATCTCAGTCTCGCTTGTCTGCCACAGAGGCCACTCCACCTTATTCCGTATAACTTTGTTTCTAAGCATATCTCTCCTAATATGCCCACACATCCATCAGAACATTCTCATCTCCGCTACCTTCATCTTCAGAACATGAGTGTTCTTGACGGGCCAACACTTGACCCATACAACAACGATCCTCTAATCAGTTACTAAAAATCGGGCGGTGCAGATGCTTGATCTAAATGCAAGTAAGGAAAAACTTCAATCACTTCCAACTAAAAAATAATGAGAAAGACTCCAACTTTCAACTAACAGCAGCTCAAATTCCTTACTTACACAATCAGGAAGCAACAAAATACAGAATTATACGAACAGGCAAACACAGAAAGTTAAAAATTTGGGGAAAACAAATGAAAAAATAATAATCAATACTTACCAGCTTAATTGCAACCTCTTCATTGGTCTGAACATTAGTCCCTAAACATCACAAAAACCAGAATTAATCAGAAAAAAGAAAAAAAAATCACAAATAGCAAAATTGAAGAATATGGGGTTGCATAAATTACCAAGGTAGATCTCACCAAACGAACCACTTCCGATTTTCCGTCCGAGACGAAACTTATTACCAACACGAGGCTCCATTGATTGGAGGCTCAAAGATTAATTATGAATTTTTTTTAAAGGATACCCAATTATAAATGAGAAATCTTGAATCCAAAAAAGGGATCTAAGAATACAAAAAAGGGATTAATTAATTAATTAATTAGGTTTATGAAAGTAGCAACGTATGGAGCAAGATGATCCATATGACTGGATAAAACAAAAAGATTGCAGATTTTAGGTTTTTTTTTGTCTTGTTGTCCCTCTGCCTCATGGCGAAGAAGCATGATGAATCTTCTTTACATATTACTGCTTCAGCTTTGCTTCTGATCCAAATTTCAATTCAATCCACCATTTTTCCCTTTCTCTCTCCTCTTCTCTCTCTCTCAACTTGACTATGGTGAATTGGTGATGACTTTTGTCAGAATGTGTTAGCTCTTAAAAAATATATCCCATCTTTTTCAATCAATTAATTACTAATATTATCTTAGGCTGTGTTTGATAAGAAAGGAAAATATTTTAGTGAAAAGATTTTTCTTTTTTTTGAAAAATAAGTAGTAATTTTTTTTTAGTTATTTGATTACTAAGCAATAAAAAAAAGTATTATAAGAGTATTTACCTATGAGATCTTTACCTAAATAATTGGATAAATTTATTAATTATTTTTTGTAGTTAGTGTATAAAAATTATTCTTTAGTTCAATCAATTGAATTATTAATTATTAAATAGCTATTTGGGTTAAATCTTCTTTTATTCCAAACCCACATTCAACGGTTCATGAAAGGTGAAATTCTCTCATCAACTCACATCTTTCTATCACAAAAGTTCAACTAAAGTTTTTTTTTTCCTATTTAATGAGTGACAAATGAACTTAAATTTCATCTATTTTATGTTTCATTATTTCCAATTCACATCTTCAACAAAAAAAAATTCAAACAATTCCCCATACTAATGGGAAATAACTATATGAGGCATGAAAAAAATTGTGCAACTCACAAATATGGATTTATTGCATTTAGATGAGTAAGTTTTTCTTTGAACTTTCGTAATACTATTAGTCAATTGGTAAATCTGATAGCTATGAACCATCGAGTTTTGGTATATACCTAGACAACCACATATCACACAGTCAACTCTTTAACCATCTTTGATTTTCATTGCTTTGTTCCATGAACATCATTCAATTTTATTAGTACCTAGAGAATTGACCTTAGAGAAGCTTCCGTAAGCAACTTACACTTCTTCACATTTATATAGATGATGCCAAAATGTGTAATTTTTATAAATACATATTTATAATCCCATATCAAACTTAGAAATCATTAAACAACAATATTGTTTTATCATTCACACTAAACATTGTCTTTGTCTGAAAATAAACTAACATTTGTTTTAATTATATTGAACCGTCAAGCCTAACTTTATTTTTCTCCTCAAACTATCATTCAAAATTTAAAGTAACAATATAATACAATACAATATACTATAACAAGTTAACAACCATCTAAACAACTTGTGAAGGAGTTATGATGAAAAATAAAACATTTAACAAACACCAAACATAATGTATACTTTACAATATACAACAACTAAATCTCAGTCCCAACTAATTGTTATTATGGATAGTTTGATTTCATTATGTTCTATTAATTCTAATTAGTCAACATCAATTCCAAAATATCATACTATAAGTTGGCTATATGTATCCAAAGTAAATGGATTAGGTAGTTTGATCTTGAATTAGTCATGTAAACTTGTTAACAATTTCATAAATTGTTGACATTGAAACCAAGAGAAATGTGTGTTAGCTATTTCTCATAACTTTACAAGGATTGTATAAGTATTTGTACACTGCAATGTTCACAGTAAGTACTTCCTAGCTAATGAATGATCTAATTTGTTGATCATCACTATACTTGTGAGTAAAAAAGAAAAAAGAAGAATTTTACAAATAAATCAGAAAGGGCCAGGGGGGAAAATTTGGAAATGGCCAACCTCCATTACATGGGGAAAAGAAGAAAAAGCAATGCACAGTTATGCTTATGTTTACTCCATCTGTGAATGCTTTTTCTGTAGCCTTCCTTTCAAATTCCTAATTTTGGCATCTACTCTGGCTGTGAAACCGATATTCGTCTTCTGTCTTGCTTTAGTTTGTTGTCTCTTCCACATACGTTCATCTTGAACGTCTTTCTTATAATACTTGATTTCTTGAATAATGTGATGATCCCTCGGATGGAACGCTCTTTGGAAAGCTACGTGGGCAAGGTAAGGCAAAATGCAGGCTAAAGTTACTAGGAGGGTGGTACACCAAAAGATTGGAGCAGGACCTAAGTGTTCCTGCATGATTCTGAAGGCATATTTAGCGTAACCTGGGAATATCTCACCATAGAGAACAACAGAGAGGTACCAAACAGCAATGCTCCCCCAGATAAAAACATGTTGTATCCATGTGAAATGACTCATTGTGAGCGCGATCTGGCAGTTGACAGCCCAGATGACACAGGTAAACATTGAAGTACCAAGAATAGCCAAGTCAGCAGTCTGGCCTTCAGAGTGGAATGCCTGATTATAGAAGAATAAAACGTTGAGGAAGAAAATCACGAGGGAGGTGTAGATACCGTTGCTAAGCCACCCAAGTATTCTATACCAGTCAAAGAACAAGTTTTTGGGGCCTTGTTGGTACAGTGCAGGAAACTGCAGAGGGCAATAAAGGTTTTAATAAGTTAACAGCTAGGAAAAGGAACTCCAAGAAGAAGTTATTGCCAAAGGACTCACTCACCTGTAAGCAAACTTCAGAAGACACATCCTGCTCGAATACTCCGAGTGCAATTACAGGCAATGAGGTAAGAAGCACATTGAATAGAATCATATACATATCATTATAGACTGACTGTCCGGAAAAGCCAGCGTAAACCTCAAAGTAAAAGAGTGTGAGGCCAAAAGCTATGTTCTTATAGAAGAAGTAGCATATCTGCATACAGAAGATTATGGTGCAGATTAGATGAAATATGTAAAGGATCCAAGTAATGTATGTATTTCATGTTCTGTGCTTAAAATGAAACAGATATAAATCAATTACCATCTGAGCAATTCGTTTGTAGCACCAATGCCCGTGTACAACGAGAAGTCTCTCCAAGAACCGAAACTGTGCAACAGCAAAGTCACTAGCCATCACTGCCTGCAAGAAGCTGATAACCATTTAAGCGCAGTTACAGCAGGAGGATATACTCGCCAAGGGGAAAATATGACGTTGTTTCATTCCTCAAGACTGATGCAAGAATCCTTCGTATATGCATATTATAGTCCCAAGAATAATGTAAAGCTGCTTTTAATAGATTAATAAGGCAAAAACCCGGTATACGCATTACCAACCTGCATTCCTTCTGCACCACTAATGCCAACACCAATGTCTGCTTCTTGAATCATCCCAACATCATTTGCACCGTCACCAATGCCTAGGGTGATTTTTCCAGTTCCCTCCTTCACTAACCTAGTTACCTGACAAGTATGAATAGGTTCACTTATGGAAGAAAGAATATTCGGGATAGATTTGGAAAAGCAAACTAAATCAAGTTCGAGACTATCTTACCAAAGCTTTCTGCCTAGGAGAGACACGGCAGCAAATGACTGAAGCACAATCAACAGCTAAATTCAAAAATTGAAGCTTCGTATCATCCTCCAATGCATAAGATAGTGTTTTCCCATCAATTATCAAAGCAAATGCAGCATGAGGATCCTTTTCAAGTTTGACCATCTGCGAAGCATTTGTGATTTGCTTCAAAATGTTCTCCTTTGTAGCCTGATCAGTAACAAACAAACGGAGAACTGTCACGAATGATACTTATAAATTTCCACTATTTAATTCCAGAAAATCTACCTGTTTAGAATCTTGAGCCACTGAGTCTGCATCCACTGTTGTTATGCATATCTGTTTCATCCCTTGTCGAAGCAAACTACACGCGTACCCTATATTTATGGCTGTTTCCATCTTATCACCTGTCAGAACCCATATCTTGAGACCAGCTTGCGCCAGTTTATCTATGCACTGAGGAACCTGGTGAAAACATATGTCAAAAGGACAGTGAAGGAAAATATATATACTTTCATTTTCTAGTTCTAGTAATAAAAGGAACATACTCCCTTCTGTAGTTTGTCCTCCACAGCTGTAGCACCAACAAGGATCAAATCCTTTTCCATCATATCAGATACACGTTCAAGAACTACATCTCTGTCCCCACCAATTGAAGTTTTTGCTTTAGTAAACTCTTCATTCCAAGTCGAGTACTCTGCCTCATCCAGTTTCTTGTAGGCAAGCACAAGAGTACGCAACCCTGATTCCCCGTATTCGTTCAAATGCTTAGTCATAGCTTCCTCAAACTTCCTTCCATTCTTTGCTAATCTATCATAGATGATGCTGAATAATCCAAATAGACAACGTTTAATTTTAAAATTTAAACAAGACAGGTGGCCATAAGCTACATTGACAAACTTAACAAATAGCACAAACAAGGGAAATTCATCCCTTATGATATTTACTACTTCACACGGAGAACAAGACATTCACGTTGACAGTATGTTTTACAGCAGAATGAATCTTGAATCACCAAGTTTTAGAGATGCAGGAGCTATAATTGAGAATAAAAAAGGGTAACGAAAGAAAGACCTGTCTGCTCCTTTACACAAGAGAAGAATCTGGCCAGTGTCATCCCGAATAATAACAGACATTCGCTTCCTCTTGCTGGTGAAGTCCAAGAGATTAAGAATTTTGTATTCCCTGGAGTAAATGGAACAAAATGTAAGTGCGCAAAAAAGGTAATGCAATTCTTGGGAGCAACTTTTAGAGGTTTGAAACTTGATCTTACTTTTCAATTGGATCTTGAAAAGAAGGGTATCTTTCTTTTACAAAAACACTTGCTTGAGTTCTTTTGAAAAACTCAAAACCGAATTCTCTGGCTGCAACAAGAAATGATACTTCATCTGGAGACTCTGATTCATAATTAAAGCCTCCAGTCTCCTCATTGTGCTCGGGAATAGCAGCATGACAAATTGCAAGTATCCTATAGAAAAGCAAGATGACATCTGTGTTTGGCTCTTTCATCCAACATCCCTTCATTAGGCGGCTATCCTCAAAGCTGAACCCCTTTATTGCAGGTTTGAGGTTTCTTTCATCTTTAGAGGTGACGACAGTCTCTAATTGGACTCCTCCATTCCCCCCATCAGTTGTCTGGGAAGGTTCAAGATCTTGCCCACCCATGTCCTCTGCCAACTGCTTTGCAGCTGCAAGTTCTACATCACTAGCACGTGTTCCATACTGAAGACCAGCAATAGAGCATTTCAGGAAGTCCATTTGGTTGCATGTCAAAGTGCCAGTTTTGTCCGAGAGGATCGTATCAACCTGCCCCAGCTCCTCATTTAAGT